GGATGAAAGAAAACGTCAACAAATCAATACTTTCATAAGTGACCTTCAACCGCAGAAGTTACGATTCATTATTCAGAATTGTCATGTCTAATATGTGGTTCTTTCATAAAAGCTGATTTCACATTGAAAGCGTTGACTAGGAAGTAGATAACCCAACGCTTTAAATGCTGGAATTTGCTTCGACAATATTTCATCGAACTGAATGAGAAAGTGAATGAGTATTGCTGGATATAAATGGAATGATTGGATGAATATCTCAAATTGATCACATCAGATCAAAAAATTTCGACAACGGTGCAAAAAATTTCAGAATCTCGACGATGTGATAACGATTGATGATGTTTCAACGGCCACTTACATATCGTTCAACATCAAGGGAAATGTGCAGTATGGGATTAGCACAATCGAACGATTGATTGAAAGGATAACACCTGATGTGGTAGCCAACTTGATTGTCAATTGAAAATTTCTTAAACCAAGATTTTCGTTCATCAATTTTTTGTGGCAATATACAGGGTAGTGGTTCTTACGTTCGGGTGCTCCATTGCCCCTTTTGATAATCTGGTAGACCGCTTTTACCTCCTCTCCCCCTGATACAAGAACTTATTGTTTCTACGTGTACCGTCAAGAACACAGGGAAAACCGGTCCGGAAATTTTTTAGTAGCGTAAAAGAAATTAGTGTCCTAAACCGTTGTGTTGTTCATTACTGCAATTGAGTATGACTGCGTGAAAAGCTTTTGTCTACGACACGCTCATTTTGAACTGATTTAGATGAATTCTCATTCTTTTCAGACGTGTTGTATTCACTCTCATAGCTATCACATGCGAATGTCGTTTTATTGATGAGCTTTTATCATTCACTTCGTCTCTATGTGACTTCACAGTTCGAATCATTTTCTCATTCTATATCATATACTATTTGTTGAATGCGTTGACGAGTGTTGACAGCCGAGACCAACAACACAGCAATCGAATTGAATTATTCAACAACGTTCCACAGTTAAATGATCAGTTATAGAGTGTATTTAAAAGAATGAGAATTCGACTTCAATTGTGGAGTGAAATGAATGAGAAATTAGCAGAAGAGAACACTTTTGGTGATAAAAGTCATGAGAGCGATTACAACAGCAAGGAAAAGAATGAAAATCCTGTTATAACGAACGAAAACCCTGTTAGGCTCGGACTAGCTAATGATATTGAGAAAATCGGAAAATAAAGAGTTTACCCAAGTTAAAAAACACCTTCACGATGGTGTTTAATCGGAACACAGCAACCATACGAAACCCTAAGTTCCCGAATCCCTCCATTACCCCTTCACACCTCCAAATTACCCAAAATGGGTAATTTCACCCTCTATGAGAACGACTGATACGGAGAGTATTTGTTGACAAGCAACCAAAAGTTGTCAGCAGAAATTTGTGAATATGCAATAGTCGCTACTCGACCAAAAAATAATCAAATACTCGAACGGTTTTATCGCATTGAAATTGAGGGAAACTATTATATGAATACTTCATTCTGGTTAGCAACGAGTATGATGATGCTATAGTTAGTCTGGAACTGGATTCGTGGATTGATAAGCTAACAATTCTCAAAATTTGAGCCATATGATGCGATTCAACTCTTGAATTGAAGTTGAATGTCATCCACAACAATTTGGAGACGTGGTCACTTTCAGATCAAAAAGCGACAAGAAATGATTTGCGATGCAGACTTTGTGCTCTTGGATGGAAATCTCCCAACTGAAACAATTCGAATCGCTGTGGAGATTGCTGATTTTTACGGTACTAAAGGTAAGTGAAAGCGATTGCCTTCAAACGAGCATTTCTTTTGAAAAAACGAGCAAAATTAGAAAAGTGTTCAAAATGAACAAGTTTCAGTTTGGTATGAGCCAACCGATACGGCAAAGATGCGAAAGATTTTCGATGCAAATGTTGCTGATAAAATTGACATAACATCACCAAATTTCAATGAATTCAACGTCTATTGTCAACTAATCAACCGAAAATTACCAGGTTTAAAGAATTTTTCACTTTTCTGGATTCGATTGAACATTAAACTTATAACGAATTGAAGCCATCACTATTCACTAGCTACTATCGTAACTATAGTCTAGAATGATCTCAAGTCACTCTTCTTAGTTAGCGAAAAATGCAACAGATCAATGGCTTCTATCGGAGAGCAGTCGTCTATAATTGATCATAAATATGGTCTTCATTTATCTGGAAGCTCTAATGCTTTTCGATCACAATAATATGAAACACCATGGCTTTTCTAGTCCAACTTGAGCACCCAATTCGCTTGAAGGTAACAGCTGCCGAATTGTGACATTGATTGCGCATATTACCGCGCCTTCATTCCAATTTAGATGAAATGTTTGACGGTGGTTTATTTGCTTGCAGAGGAGATCTTGACCGAGTGGAAAACCAACGAAATGTTCGATTATATTTCGGAAAATGCCGATGCGTATTTGCGAACGTTGGAAACACTTATAGTGACTGTTGGACCGAAAGGATCGATTGTTTTGAAACGAGATTCTGATCGCATAACCCGACATCTACTCTACGCACCGCTAGAGCCTGATGCTGTGGTTTCTGCGTCTGGTGCTGGAGATTGGTAATTTCTCACTGTTCACCAATTTTTAGTCGCTTGGTAGGAATCGTGGGAATGTTATGGAGCCACGATTAGATAGTTTGTGACGATGATGACTCTGAGAGTAACGTGCTATCTTCAGATTCGTCCAGTGACAGCAAACTCTGCGCGTAGTTTAGTGATGCCACATGACGAGACAGGTCAACGGATGTTCAGATCGAAGATACTTTGCGTGATTTTACACCTTCACGATTTCTGATGATCACTTTAACATTTCAGTTTCAATAGTGGCCTAT